ATTTGGGTTTTAGGGAGGAACGAATGCGCACCGCTGTGAAGGGAAGTTGCGCAATACGAAACGCAGCTAGTTTTTAATAGCTTTAACTCATGTCATTTAACGAAATAAAAAAAAAAAAAATTAGCTTAATAAAACAGCCACAGGCCTAAAGTGTAAGCAGATGTTTGAATGTTTAGTTCTCTCTTTCATGTTGCGCGTGCTGAGCTCCTGCGCGTGGGCGTGATTTCGCTTCTGAATTGCGAATAGCAAAAATGCATCATAGAAAATGTTTGAAAAGCAGCTGGGGACTCTGGTGAGATAGAATTGGCAATATAATGTATATATATCAATAATAAATGCATGTGTGTGTTTCATTCTATTCTCTATCATAAATAGAATGGACGATTAACTATTTAACGCCGATATAGTTGCGTACTCTTTATTGAACACTGCATAACCCACGGTCAGTAACACTGAGACTGTCAAACAGGAAGTCCGCCTGAGAGGCACCGAATACAGTCCGTACTGCAACAACACCCATTACAACAGGATGTTTTATTAATTGCTCCAGTGCCGATAGCAGAACCGTTAACGTCAGAGCTTATCGATACTCTGGTCTTTCATAATTTAGCCCCGCGGGACCGATTAAATACCGGGTTTCTGTACCCATCCCTATTAAAAGGTAAGAATTTCAGTAAAAAATCGTATGATATATTCTAAAAATGCAGTCATTGTCAAATTAAGATAACTCCACACGCTTTTAAATCATGTCGACGGTATATTTCGTCGAGTGTCGTCGCAGAATTTTTTTTTGAGGTAACGTTAAATATTACTGGTAGTTTATCAAACTTCTACAATGTGATTAAATCACTCACAAATGGAAACCAAGTTTTCATCAGGCGAATAATAATGCCTGTCACTACATTGGCTAAAAAGTGTTAAATTCACAGCGTACTTTGAGTTAACTTAACTTAGATTTTCAGAATCAGTGATTATAAATATTTCACGGCATGAGGAGGGTTGATAGGAAAGAATGCGTACATATTAACAAAAAAGGGGAAACCTAACTGAAGCATAAATTAATGCTTCACAAGAGCGAAGTTTATATAATACCTTATGACAATGAATAATTATCCAAGTCTAACTATCGAGATGGAGATTAACGTTAAACGTTTTTGCACTTTACATGGACCATAAAGCATTGAAATCGGTTAAAAAATGTCAACGTTATTGTGCTTTTTATCCGCAAAACCCTCTGCTTCCAAGTTCACTGCTATGTGTTTTTTTAGGACCGGTGTTTCGACAATCTGTGCTACCTCTCAGAATGAGCTACCCTCCATTGACTTTAGGTTTCGGATTTGGGTGGGGGAGGGTTTCGTCGCCGTTGTCATATCACAGCAATAAATAAAAGAGCTCATATTAGAGAGCTGATTTTATAGTTAAGACATGGCCAAAAATTGTATGTTATTAAAGACTTCTGGAGAGAGGAATATATTACTTTAGGGCATGATCCTTGTCTTTTACGATCCAAGCTGCTGGAAACATAAGAATGCTTTATTTTAAACTTAAAGCTAATGCATAAGCGTAATGTTTAACACGGCTTGCCCTGTCAGGCGCTTTGACAGATGCGCATGATGTTTAATGTGTGATATAATTCCTCGGCGCAAAACTTTCATTTTACGGTTATATTCTTATCTGTAAATGTTACATATTGAAGCAAGCAAGTGTTTCTATTTTGCATGAAGGCTCATCCTGACAGTCTGCGTTAAACTTCAGACTTTACTGAACGAGCGCCGGCACGCATGCGCATCAAACAAATGGAACGCAGTATAGAGGAAGACAATTAATATTCAGCGCAAAAATATGCTGATATATCTGTTATTGGATGTTAAATTTAGGTTTAAAAGTCAACATGTAATTCAAGTATTTTATGATAGTAACTGTAAAGGGATAACAGCGTGTGATTGAATATAAATGTAAGACGTTTCTGACATTTACAGACTAAAGAAATGACAGTAAGAGGTTACTGTGTTCAGAGTGAATGTGTGTGTTCTTGCAGAACATTTGTCCTATTTGTTAACACAGAATTTGTGCTTTTAGTTGCAGCCCTAATAATTAATTCCATTTATTGTGATTAAAGCAGTCAAGTCATAATGTAAGCAGTCTGATTTGAAAGCCTTACAGAACTGGATATGTTATGAAGAACTCATGTGTTTGTGCTCATTTAGGTTCAAGCACAGGTGATCCATGAGAGTGTGGTGCCCAAGGAGCCTCCACCTGAGTTTGAGTTCATTGCCGACCCTCCCTCCATCTCAGCCTTTGATCTGGATGT